CGAATAAGTGAAGACCGAATGGTGAAGAAAATATATAGAGCGAAAGTAAATATTAAAAGGTGTCGAGGTAGACCGAGACTAACTTTCGAAAACCATGTGAGCAAATTGCTCGAAGAGGGGAGGGTCAAGAGTACTCGGATACCTAGACGTGCATGTATGAAGAAGTTAATGAACCTGAAAGAAGCGAAAGAGGTATGTAAGGATCGTGACACTTGGCGATCTGTTCTCTCTGGCTACCCCGTTAGGGATTGTGCGTGAAGATAAGTAAGTAAGTAAGTAATGTAAAACCTATTACAGTAACAACTTCCTCGTCTGCGAAAAAACCCAACAATTAAACAATTAAAATGTTCATATATGACTCATAGTACAGTGAATTGGTTCATAAATATAATTTTTGTTTCTGATGTCTCAATTTTAAAATAATTATTATTTATGTATGAGTTAAAACTTCCATACATTTCTCCAAATATTTTGGTTTATGCTTATATTTATGAATATCCTAATAAATGTGGGCCAGTTATACAAGGTTGCATTTTAGATGGTGCTTTGCGTAGCCTTAAAGAGGTTTAAAACGACCAATGAATTTATAAATTCAGTATATAGATTCAATACTATATCATAAAGATTTGTGGTAACAAAGATTTGACACCCCTGTTTAGTCAAGTGCTGAAAATAAGTGCTAACGCCACACCTACACTTGGCACTTCATTATGAAATTCATTCATGCCAGCCTATGAAACGTCCATTGTAGAATATAGGAGCAGTCCATTGTAGAATATAGCAATCCTCCTCTTAGATTGCCTTATAGCTCTCCTATGCCACACTTGCCAGACGTGTTGACAACCGCTGTACCGCTCATCTGACATTCCTGAGTGATGAGTTTTCATTTTCCATTCCATTCCATTACGACACCTACCGGATGATATGGGGTATTTGATTCTCTTACATCGTCACCACACAGCCAATATCGTTCCAAATTCCTGAGAGGCTCCCGTCAGGTCACATACTAATGCCATTGAAAAGCTTTTTCTAATCGATTTATATGATTTCAAATCAATGATGTAGCAGAACCATTAGATACACTTATAACTCACTAATTATTTAGGAATATTCTACTTGCATGCATGTTATTACGCGAAATATATAACCTATTCAGTCCATATTAGTAAGTAGACATCTTACACGAATCATAATGATAATATATGTTTGAGCGAAGAAGAAAAATCTATGAATTTTTGAGGACTATGCACTAACCATAGTAAATTATTTAATAAACTACAGATTATTTTTTGTGCGGTGCGTTAAAGTCCACTGCTGGGAATGGGCCTTCTGACATCCCCCGTTGTAGGGATCACTTGATAAGCATTGACGCTTCTGTCTGTCTCTGGTCTGACGTAAAGGATTTTATGGTATTTCTAATGAGTATATTAAGGAATTTTATAATAAGAGTAGAGTAAAATATAGTAGGTACTTGTTTCTTATACTTATTGTATAATTTTATAATATAATTTAATTTTATAGTCTATATGTAATTCAAATCAAATCAAATAATTTATTTAGTATCAGAGTTTTTACATAGCAGTGTTATGATTGAGGATTTCTTTTAAGTAAATAAATGTTTGTGTTAGAAATTCCCCCTCTCCGTAACATTGATTAACGAATACTAATGGGATACCTACTTAATTTAAAAACATATTTTTAATTTTTATTTTTAAAGTTACTTCAAAACAGGAGATTAAGATTATATATATATATATATATATATATATATATATATATATATATATATATATATATATATATATATATTTATTTATGGGCTGACTAGTCGCGTTCGCAAAATATGCCGATTATAATCGGTCGTTAGCAAAAAATTAAACCAACATTTATTCCTAATAATTGTTTTTTATTTTACTTTTCCATGAATCTGCTGTGATAGCAGTTTTTATGATAATTAACTAGCTGCATAATGATTTCTTATATTTACGCGAACACTACACATTGAAATAATACTAGTTTTTACGGAATTTATCGCGTATATTTAACTTTTTAAATACCCGACGTTTCGAGAGCTTTATAGCACCCATGGTCACGGGAAGGACTGAGATCTTCAACGTCCAGATGTCATAGTTAACCGCGGTTACCATAGATTAAAATTTAACTTTTGTTCCGATCTACACAGTATGAACTTATGGTATCATGAATAGTGATCGGTTCACCAACAACCAACAGATTGGCTCAACACTTAGCGAAAATACTCTCACCGCTCAGGGGACATACAAGAGCACACATAAAGGATTCCTACCATTTTGTCAGCGAGATTAAAGACCTACGTCTGGCAGACAATGAAACTATGGTCAGTTTTGATGTGCAGTCATTGTTTACATGCTTACTTGTTGAAGACTGCATCTCAATTTTAACTAGAAGGCTGGAAGAAAACAACATGCCCGTAGAATATGCAATATTACTCAGACACTGCCTTACATCTGGCTACCTATTGTGGAAGGAGGAGTTCTACAAGCAAGTAGATGGTGTGGCGATGGGCTCACCTGTATCTCCCATTGTCGCCGACATATTCATGGAAGACTTTGAGGAGAAAGCCCTGCTTACTTCTCCCATAAATCCAAGATTCTACAAGCGGTACGTAGACAACACTTTCACAATTCTACCTTTAGATAAAGTAATTGCATTTTTAGACCATCTTAACTCTATAAATTCTAAAATTCAGTTCACAATTCCTTAGCTTTTGTAGATGTGTTAGTAATTCGGAATCCTGATAACACATTGAGCCATACTGTGTATAGAAAAAAGACCCATACAGATAGATATTTAAACGGTGATTCTCACCACCATCCTTCACAGTTAGCTACCGTGGGTAAATCTTTGTTTCAGAGAGCATGAGGGATCTGTGACAGTAAACACCTGGCTGCCGAGCTCCAACACGTCAAGCAAGTTTTGCATGACAACAAGCTTCGGGTCCCGCGCCTACGTCACAGAGAACGAGTAAAGCCGGCCACAGTCGAGCGTGTACCTGCTGTACTGCCATATGTTAGAGGAGTCACTGAGAGGATTGGCTACATCTTGAAGCGCGCTTCCATCAAAACATACTTCAAGCTGCCGAAGAAGATTGGTCAGTTTTTACCATCAGTCAAGTGTAACGTCCCTCTGCAAGATGCAGGAGTGTACAAGCTTGATTGTGAATGTGGTCTCTCCTATATAGGACAAACTAAAATATCAATTAAAAGAACATATAGCTGATGTAAAGAATCGACCCTCCGGGAAGTCTGCAGTCTGTGAACACGTACAGGATCGCCCCCGTCACTACATCGGATTTGATAGACCACAAATCCTCGCTAAAGAACACCGATTCCTTCCAAGGATGATTCGCGAGGCTATTGAAATCAAAAAACATCCTAATTTCAATAGAGAAGATGACTGGGTGCTACCATCTGCTTGGGATCCTATAATAAATAAAATTAAATCCTAACCCAAGCATACAACTGCAAGACTTCACGATACCATAAGTTCATACTGTGTAGATCGGAACATAAGTTAAATTTTAATCTATGGTAACCGCGGTTAACTATGATATCTGGACGTTGAACATCTCAGTCCTTCTCGTGACCGGGTGCTGTAAAGCTCTCGAAACTTCGGGTATTTAAAAAGTTAAATATACGCGATAAATTCCGTAAAAACTAGTATTATTTCAATAACTTTCTGCACTTTATTATATTAATTATTAATCTGTTACCACATTATAAGGAATTTAAGAATCAGTCAGTAAGTAAATATCTTCAATCAATGACACATACATAACAAAATAATATAGGTTAATAACATTTTCAAGGTATCATAGAGCCATAGTATTACTTTAAATTTGGTTAGTCTTTATTCAAGAATAATAAAATATAAAAGATATTGTGATGGAATCATTGAACAATACCTATTAAAATAAATTGGCATTATGACAAGATTTTTAGTGCTAATGAATGCTTAAAAACTACTTAAATATGTTTGTTTTTAATTAGTGGCAAGTTATGATGCAAAAATGTCAATGTTTCGGCGTGATCTGGAAGTAAGCGGTTCCTTTTTTGTCTCATATACATTGCCAGCTTCCGAAAAGAGACGCTCGCTATAAACTGTGCTGGCAGGACAACATAGATATACTTTAGCTATATGAGCCATTTCAGGATATCTAGAACTGTTCTCATGCCACCACTTAAATGGCTCTTCAGTTCGCTGTAAAACTGGCAATGTGCAGTAAGAATGAAGTTCGTGAGCTGAACTAGATATTTCGTCGTCAATATTGTGCACTTTTCGCGTAACCATTTCTTGGTAAACTCCCCAAAAGTTACGATGAGCTGTCATTGTGGAGATTTTGGGTATTGGTCTCATCGTTATTTAGGTTGCTGTCATTATTATCACGCATACCGTTCTTCAAGGCTTCCAGCGAAAACTGTAAGATCACAGTTTTTGATACTATATTTTCATTATCAAAAAACCGTAGTTTGTACCTTGGATCGAGCAAAGTTGCAAGTGAAAACAATTTATTCTGTTCCAAATTTCTGAATCTAGTTTCAAGCCCTTTTGCAATGCAGTTTTCATTTTCATTAATTGCTCATTTCCGTCTTCGTCTGTATAGTTTTCCAGATATTTTTCCAGTATTTTTAGGTGAGGAATAATTTCAGATATCGAGGAGCAACTGGAACTAATTGTCTTCGTCACCTCTTCAAACGGTTTTAGTTGCGTAATGCATTTTTCGAGTAACTTCCACTCCTCGATCGATAAATTCTCACATACAAAGAAACGGATCGTTTTTGCTCTAACAGACGAAACATCATGTAATAAGAAGAGTTCCACCTTGTGGAAACATCTTGAACAAGAAGATGTAAAGGTAAATTAAGTTCTTTTTGAATAGCACTTAGTTTTTGTTGAGCTGGTGCTGAGTGATTGAATTGCGTAACGATACGCCTCGATTTTGAAGAATTTGTGCTATATAGTCAATTTTCGAGGATTGCTAATTGCATAGTATGAATAAAACATGGAACTACTTTGAAAATAGATTCATCGATAGCCTTTGCAATGTTCCTCTCATTATCTCGCACAACAGCGTGTATTTTGGCTGCACTTATATTCCATGAGGCAGGAATTTCTTCGAGACACACTTTTATATTATGTGCATCGTGAGACATAGGAAAATGTTTCATCTGGAGTACCGCGTGACGAAATTTCATATCGTTATCAAACCAGTGTGCTGTAAAGCTTAAAAAACCTTCCTTATTGTTTGTATTTGTCCATAAATCTGTAGTTACGGATAGCGCGGCAGCGCTGAGCACTCCGTATCGTATTTCAGTTTTAGTTTTCAAGGCAATCATCCCTCCTATAGCAACACTTATTTCTCTTGATCGGGAGTCCTGAAGCGACCACTGGACCATTACACTATCTTGAATAGTTTTTTGTATGTAAACTTCGCCTCTCGCTGAAGTTGATGGAACTGGCATCGGTGAAAAGGGCTCAGGTGGCGATTGAGAACGTGAAGACAAATAGACTTCATTCGAACTACTTTTAATAGAACCTGCCAATTGAGGCATCAACTCGTTGTGCTTATATTTTATGTGATTAGTCATATTTGACGTATTCGCTTTTTCTACCTTGACCACCGCGTGAAATTATTCCCTGGCACTGGTTACATTTAACTTTTGTCGGTTTCCCTTCAACATCGTCGAAGAATGTCCACACTCGCGATTTCTTTTTCGACATTTTAAGACCCTACACACAGTTCTTTTATTTATTTTAACTAGGCGACACCGGCAGAGCGAATATGCACAAAACGATTAAAAAGTAAACAAAACACGTCAAAGCTCAAAGCTTATATCACACTACAAGTCACAACTTGGCGTGGCCGCATGACGAGTGACGACATAGCTCGAATACCTCCGAAAGGCTAGTATGATCGGCATCGCCGACTAGTCGGCCGACTGATCGGCAATTTGAAAACCGATTAGTCGGCTAGTCGGCAAATACCATAGTCGGCCCATCTCTAATATATATATATATATATATATATATATATATAGATATATATATATATATATATATATATATATATATATATATATATATATACAACATGTAACAAAAACCCTGTGGTTCCCGTTACGTGTGCTATCAGAATGAGTATCCAAGCTTAAGAAATAATTTTTTTTCAAAAAGACGCATTTGAAAAAAATTAATTTTACTGAAAAAAAATTAATTTGCAAATCGTATGTGGTTTTATTTCCTCTAACTCACACGAGTATCGGTAATGCGGGGTCTTTGACAATCCTCTTACTCCTCGGCCAATGCAGATGTAATAAAACCACATACAATTTGCAAATTAATTTTTTTTCAATAAATTATTTTTTTAAATGTGTTTTTTTTTAAATTATTTCTATATGCTTGGATATTGATACTGATAACGCAGTTAACGGGAACCACAGGGTTTTTGTTACATGTTGTATATGTATGTGCATAATATTATATATGTGTGTGTGTGTACTGTGTATATATGTATAAGTAATATATTTTATTTAAGAACCAAACAATGGTAATAAAAACTAAGACTTTCTCTGTTTTGGACAAATTAGAATACATACATTTTTAAAAGTTTATCTTGTTTCGGACCCTACTATGGCAAAGGAAACACCTAGTTTTTTTCCTTTCTTTATGCTCTTTGCCTATACTGTCTAATTATCTACCTTGCTTTAGGTCTGTCGGATACCCTGGTTCTAAGTGGACCAGGCCAAAGCGTGACAATATTGGTTAATTGGTAAATAATTTTTTATGCATCCTTGCAATATGTCCGGGCCATCCTCATTTCGGACTAAGTGCACGATGCTTTAAAGCATCTATGATGTTCGTCCTGCTCCCAACGGCGACATATTTTATGCGTGTATGTGTGTTTAATTTGTACATAGTCTAATGTAACATCCTACTTTCTAATTTTTCTAGTGAACCTTTCAGAAGTCTGAAAGCTAAAAGTGACAACAATTATATTGTCTATTGCATACATTTATTTTTTTACTTATTTGTTTATTAAAACAATCCAATACTTATCCTCTTAATTATTTGGCAAAAGATTAAATACTTATAAATTGAAATCGGATATTCTGTCCGTATTTTCCTATCTGGAATTCCCGCTTGGCTGCACCTCTGAACTTTATATGGTTTCAGGTAATGTACGTTAAGCTGATAAATTCGTAGTAATAAATCTTTATATACCAGTAATATAAAATTCGGGAGTAAGTGTAATTGTAATATTTCTCCTCCAAAATTGCTTGACGGATTTTGATGAAATTTTCATGGGATACTTTTGAGGTCACCTTAATGACACTTAGCTTTAGAAGGTCTTTAGTAGTTGACGCTGTTATAGGGATACAGAAATCACCCGTGTGAAGCCGCGGCGAACGGCAGTTCTTAATGACACTTAGCTTTAGTTGGACTTTAGTAGTTGACGCTGTTATAGGGATACAGAAATCACCCGTGTGAAGCCGCGGCGAACGGCAGTTCTTAATGACACTTAGCTTTAGTTGGTCTTTAGTAGTTGACGCTGTTATAGGGATACAGAAATCACCCGTGTGAAGCCGCGGCGAACGGCAGTTCTTAATAACACTTAGCTTTAGTTGGACTTTAGTAGTTGACGCTGTTATAGGGATACAGAAATCACCCGTGTGAAGCCGCGGCGAACGGCAGTTCTTAATGACACTTAGCTTTAGTTGGACTTTAGTAGTTGACGCTGTTATAGGGATACAGAAATCACCCGTGTGAAGCCGCGGCGAACGGCAGTTCTTAATGACACTTAGCTTTAGTTGGACTTTAGTAGTTGACGCTGTTATAGGGATACAGAAATCACCCGTGTGAAGCCGCGGCGAACGGCAGTTCTTAATGACACTTAGCTTTAGTTGGACTTTAGTAGTTGACGCTGTTATAGGGATACAGAAATCACCCGTGTGAAGCCGCGGCGAACGGCAGTTCTTAATGACACTTAGCTTTAGAAGGTCTTTAGTAGTTGACGCTGTTATAGGGATACAGAAATCACCCGTGTGAAGCCGCGGCGAACGGCAGTTCTTAAATAAAATAATGTTTTTTTTTACCTATTAATTAAATCAGCTGGTTAATTGGATATCTAACCATTATTAAAACGCCGCCGTTCAACTGACTGATTCCTAGTCAAATGGATTGAAACGAAATTTAATAAATGGGTTCTTCCGTTTATTAAACTTTTATCTCAAAATTCTTAAGACCGCACAAACCAAAGTCACACAAAGAAGAATTGAATGACACTACAGCAAATTAGGTTCAAAACTAAAAATACACATAATTCATTATTGTTAAAATGATGTCATTTTTTGAAATACACAATAGACGAATACACCTAATTTCAATGGAATAGAAAAACATAGTAACCTCTGTATTTTGGAAATTTTAGTTCTGTTTACAATAAGATGCGGATTTTAGGGACTAAAGCTAGATGCCACTATCACTAAAAACTGATTTGTTTTGTTACTAAGGTTTTTTTTAAATTTACTATAATTTGCGAAATATTCAATTTAAATATTTTGGCCTATGTAACATTCTTATTCTGCAAAAGACGCGCTTGCCAATCTCAAATAGACTTAAAGCATATAAATTACTTAGTTACATAAATACTTTATCGAAATAAAAAAGATACAAAGAACGTCTGGTTTTTCGATCCAATTCTCCTTTTAAACGTGGTAATTTAGGCAAATATACGACCCTACAACCCTACAACCTACGATAATATGAATTGAAAGGAACGGAATTATATTAAGTAAAACGGAAAGAGAATTAAAGACACAGATGAAATAAAAGTAAAATCCTTCTGTATTAAAAGAGGTACATGTCTGGCAGACATTGACTTATTAAGGGACGGTTTAAGGGTTGTCGGGCTAGAATTAATCAATGTAATTTAAAATAGAATAATGTTGTGCCCAAACCTACATGTTGGGCTATCAACCAAAAACTAGTTAATGACCTATTAAAACTTACTTTTATTAATACAAAACATACAAGTATTTTAAATCGATGACCAAATAAAAGTATATTCTGTGCATAGCTCATCGCTTTTCGGTGGTCAGGCTCCCTCTGGAAAATAATCCAAGATACGCTTATAAAAGCTGTAAATTACGATAAAAAACAAATATAACAAGAAATAATCACACGCTGTTAGGCAAATATTGATTCAAATGCACGTTCTAAAACTTAAATTCTAACCGTTATGCGTCGTGGCTATGATTACAATAAACATATTTGGAAGCAATTTATTAGAGTACATTACACTGTACGAGTATTATTGATCTATTCTTAGTCGTGAATATGTTTGAATAGAAAAGCTTACCTTGTTTCATTGACACGAGTTTATTGTCCACAATTTAGTCACAGACAGAAAAGAAATCTTTTTCTTATGTATTTAAAAACGAAAGCAGCTTTTATGAAAAAAATAGGTTGATCCTGCAGGCTATCCCTGGCAAAGATTTAAATCTTTGATCCCTGGAATTTCCCGCTAATTCAAATGCAAAACGCTCCAAATTTCACCATTTTCAATCGGTCAAGCCGTTCAAAAGTTATAAGAGACAAACATACATACAGACACCATCGAAAAACCGTCATGGTGGCTTCCTGTGACCTCAAAACCTCAAGATTTGATGAAAACTCAATTTTTGAAAAACGGGGTAAGAACAATAACTTCCCGATTTTTGAAAATTTTATTATTTTAGCGGGTAGTTAAAAATTAAGATGAATTATTTATTTTATTTTTTTTAAAAAATCCTCATTGCTAAGTATACATATAAGATCATACATAAGTAAGCTTAAAATGCTGGTGTTAGGAATGGTCCATGACAATAGTTGAATGGCGGAATCGAACCTACCATTTCTCGAGGTCCGCACCTACTATCGCTTCAATTATGCTTTAAAAACATATATAGTGACAAAAGAACAAACATTTTATCTGATGGTAAAGTAAAGTGTTTTTAGTTTCTATCTGCTGCCACTTTACGATGGTAGTCTCTGCGAGCGTGCTCCTTCTCCGATTGAGTTGACCCATTCGCGCTGGAAAGAAGCTCTTCGTAACTCTAGCGTGGGTTATTGTTCAGACTCTCTACTGAATACGTTGAATTTCATCCCAAGGGTCCATGGTACAAACTACGAACCCGATTCTTTGAAAGCTACGGTAGCTCAATGACTAAGCGTTTAGTTGCGGCGCGACAGAGCCGGTAGTTCAAGTCCCGCACGGAATAAATATTTGTATAGCCTACAAATAATTTTGGTCCGAGTCTGGTTATTTCTCCATATGAAATTTAATATCAATGTCATGAATTTCAGCGCCTTTACGATTCAAGAAAATATAGTGTGGGAGAAGTTTTCTTCTAAAAAAAATACTGAACAAGGCATAGTGTTAGTATGGCATTGATTAACTTTAAAGTTAAAAAGTTAAAGTTACAACCTATATACATACGTCCCACTGCTGAGCGCAGGCTTCTTCTCACTTCTGGGATGGTTTAGGGTAAAAATATTCGACACGCTGCCCCAATGCGTTTTGGGCAAAATTCACATATTATGTTCGAAT